TACTGTCGACGTTTCGGAACTAAGTATGTTTCATCTTCAGGATATCTGTCAAGAAACTTGATCTAAGAAAAGTAGAAAATGGTGAATTTTTTTATATAAAATAAATAAAATGAAGAAATAATATTATTTTTTTTATTATTACTTTTTGGATTCGTTGTTTAAAGCTCTACAATATATATATATATATATATATATATATATATATATATATATATATATATATATATATATGAGTAAGTTCTTCAAGGGCATACATCAAATAAAAGGCAAAGATTTAGAAGTTAATCTTTAATTTTTCCAATTAAAATTTTGGAAAAATTAAAGATTAACTTCTAAATCTTTGCCTTTTATTTGATGTATGCCCTTGAAGAACTTACTCATATTTCTCAACATCAAAATTAACTACTTTAACATATATATATATATATATATCATTGATAAATTAGCATCACGTCTCAAGGCTTGAATATGACAAAAAATTTCAATAAATTAAAATGAATTTGTTATCACGATTGTATATAGACAAGACATTGTTAAGTATTAAGTTTTATACACCAAGATTGTGATTACATCAAAACCTCATTAAGATGATTTTTCAAGTAAGACTTAAGGGAGAAAGCATAATGTGAATATAGAGACGATAAAGTATCTACTGCGTATTATGTATTATATTCAAAATTTTGGTATATGTAGGCATTATTAAATAATCACATTTTTTGGTTCGGCTAAGAGATTTTGATGCATTAGCAGTAATTGCAAGATTTTCAACATAAATCAATGTTTGTAACTTTTCTGGATCATTAGAATTGGCACAGATAAGAATTTAGGATAGTCAGGCTCTAATAAGTTGCTTTACCATCATGACTAGTTTGTATCATCGGAACATTCAATTTCTTTAGTTGTTTGACAGTATACAATGTAATCGAAATTTTGATCTATTGATGTAGCAATTAAAAGCATTGGTCGATAATATAAGTCTTCAGCAAATATACAAGCTTTCTCGCTTATTTTGGGGCCAGTAAACCACAGATTTTTTTCTAATTTATTATAAAACCTCCCTTTTGCTTTATCTTCTGAACTCTATTATAATAACATAATCTTTGATGATACAGTTATCATAACATTCTTTCTTGCTTTGTTTATATGTGAAATACGCCTGATCGCATAGTAAATAGATAAACATTTTCATTTTGGAAATAATCTATTCAGCAATTTGAAAAAATTGAAAATCAGTGATCTATAAGTCTTCAGCACTTTCTATAATTCTTTAGCTCTTTCTCACATATTGTGGGGTCACCAATAGACAGTTTAAAGGGTCGTTTTTCTAATTTGTCAAACTTTCCTACATTTGACTTGTTACTCTGAATATTTCCTGTTCATCAAATTTCTTTGTTTTCTTCTCAATTTTTTAAAAATGAGTACTTAACATTGAAACTGTTAAGGGAAGATCACCAGCATATAATATAAGGTTGTCAAATATCTCCCTTCCGCCTTTTTGTATTATAAACCAAGAGCAAAAAAGCGGAAGGGAGATATTTGACAACCTAATATTTCAATTTTTTGTTCGATGGTCAGTACTTTTCGATTAGGTTTAATAAACGTGATGACAAATCGTATTAAGCGTTAAGAAATGTATAAAAATATGTCTATGGTCTGACCTAAATCTTCGTATTATGCGGGAGATGGAATAAAACATAATCGTCTTAACGGGGTACTATTTGGAAAACCTATTAGAAAACTGCCTTATTTTATTTCATTATTAAGAATATATAAATAAATAATTTGTTTTTTTGTACAGTAATACCCTGATTAATTTAACGCGTTGGTTTTCTTCATCAAAAAAGAGCGTAAAGCGAAACAGCGCTAAACGGGGTAACAGAACATTGATAATGCATTAGATTTTTAATAATTGTGCTTATTTTATTGCAGACAATAATAAAAATAACATAAAAACAAATAAAATTCTAATTTAGTCAAGTCGTTCAGTCTGTTCTGTGGTTTAAAATTTTTGCCTTTTTGTTAAAAATGCATTTAATGTAGTTTGCGTTCTTGAAGCATCTGTTACACCTCAATTTATTTGCTTTTAAATTTCTGTCGAAATATGGAATCATTTTCACCAAATTGGTGCATATTTTCGGTCGTGGTCAAAAAGACCTACTATAGGACCATTGAAAGTTTTACTTGCTTGCTCTTCTTCGAAATCACCTCAATCACCACAATCAACATTTTTTTCTCTTTTTAATTAATTACTTCACACTAAACTAATAAAAGCTGTTTCTTGAACTATTTCTTGGACATTTTCCACTTTTTTATTACCCATATTTTGGGGAATCCCCGTGTTGAAATAAAAATTGTTGGCGCACTTTTACAACGGGGTATTACTGTATATAAAAAAATACTTTATTTTATTCTTTAGTTCGAATGTGTAATAATTAGTATTAATTAGAACCGATTTCAATCAAAGCTTAATTTGTGGTTATCGAGACACACACACTTTGATATTGTATACATTCTGTGAAAAGATTGATATTGCCAATAAGAATATAATAATAATAATAAATATTTTTTATAATCAAAAATAATATCGTAAGCAATTCTAAAATTTAAAAAAAATCGGGCTTTATATAATATATACATACTATATATATTGAGCAATTTGTAGTTATAATAAAAATTATGTATTTTATTACTATTGTTCCAAACAAATCTAACGACTGAATTGTTTTTGCGTGCGCGATATTTGTGATCATCCATATCTAATTATGTAATTAATTTTTGATTTATTTGGAACAATGAGATTAATTATAATTAATAATTAATAATTAATAAACTTCCATATTGTTATATTATGTGTTTAACCAATTTTTTGGACGAAACTTTTGCTGTCGAAATATTATCAATAACTGATATGAGTTAACCATGTTTATTTTTCATAATTATATATTAAAATAAAATAAAATAAATGCATTTTATAAGAGTACTTGTTTTATTTAAAAAAAATATATTGCAGTGATAAGTAAACTATTTTCAGGGGAGGTCCAGGTTGTGTGATGTAAATAAATTTTAATTACAAAAGTTTCAATGAACATTTTTTATTTATTAAGTATTTTAGACATAGTATATCATTACTTAATATTAGTGCTCCTTTTGGAGGCAGGTTCAACATGTGACGCATGCATTCTTCATATCATATTTATATATGAAATATATAGCACCAAATTTGTCGAATCAAGAAAAAAGAATTAGTATTTTTTATTTATAATTTATAAATTTTTATTCAATATTTATAATTTTTCTATTTATACGTTTCGACACTTTATATGTGTTATCATTCAACAATACATACTGGGAAGAACAAAATACAAAACTAAAGCAGTTATTTTTCAACTTCCCGTAGGGGAAGTTATAGTAATCGCAAAAAAAAAATCGAAAATGAAAATTTCTGCATATCTTTACGTTTCAAAGGTTTCTGAACATCTTGGCATACCTCAGCAAAAATCGATGTGTGTGTATACAATTTTTCGTCGACGTTTTAGGGCCGATTTAAAAGATTCAAAAATCATTCGATTCCTATTGATAAGGAGACGTGCTGATTAGTTTTTGGCAAAGGCAGGTTCATCCGTTTCGGAGATACGGAGCAAAGAGTGCAGAAAATATAAATTATGTTTTTGAGAGAACGGAGCATCCGATTTGAATGATTCAAAAAAACATTCAATTTGTAATGACGTAATGAAAAGTTGATTAAATTTTTGCGAAGGCAGGTCCAGCAGTTTTGGAGATCCAGTAATAAAAATTTTAAAAATCCAGTTTTTCATTATTGAATTTTTTTCTTAATTTTCAAAAATGCTCGAAAGAATTGAAAATTCTCAAAAAAGATATTTTTCATATTGAGTTTACAAAATTTTGTTCGAAAAAAATCCAAATTCTCAAAATAATCTATTTTTGCATTTTTGAGTTTTAAAAACTTTAAAATGCGGTACGGGAAGTTCCAGCAATTTGCCTTAAGGCACGATGCCATGCACCACTAGTTTATTTTATATCGTTTAGGTCAAAATTTCGATAAAAAAAATTAGTTTTGGTAAAAAAATGTTTCTTGTTCTTCCTGAATGACGACACACATAAGGTGTCGAAACGTTTAAATTAAAGAATTGTGAACATGAATTCATTTTTTCAATTAGACAAATTGGCTTCTATATAAATAATAAATATAAGTCGATAAAATAAAAATAATTAAATACAAAAAGGATTCTTAAACAGACATCCATCTACTTATTAAAATACAATTGAATCACTATTTTTTTTAAATTTTATTTTAATTTAACTTTGCAATTACTTTGTTTATTGTTTATTTTATTAGTGAGTTTGAGCTTTTTAAATCATTTGTGTATTTATCAACTGAGAAAGAGTTCAAACTTGTTTATTTATGGAGTTTATATCAAATTATTTTAAACATAATTATATATCACTTTAATGATTGAATGGATGCCTGCTTAAGAAACATTTTTGTTATTAATTACAAATCATTCAGCATCTGAAATATATATATATATATATATATATATATATATATATATATTAATTAAATGATATATTTAATAATTTTTCTAGATATATTATATCGATAACCTAAATGGCATATATAGTACAAATTCAAATCTACTTTGTCATATATTCAAGCCGATTTTTGTTCCTTTATCAAATTCTAAAATTCTATAATAAAAACATTATTTATAAATAAATTATATTAATCCTAGAATAATGAATAGATTTGCACAACTCCTGTTGAATAAAATAATTGTGTTTAATGCACAAATTTATTCAAAATCGTGGACAAAAAATTACAAATGAAGGAATAATTATAATAGAAAAATATAATCAAGCTTTTTTTATAAGTTATTATAATTTCTATAATAAAAACTTTGGAATGATATAAATTTAAATTTATATATTAAAATTTTTTTAAATCTTCATGTTTAAACCGTATGGTCTTAACGGGGTTCTACTGTGTTTTGTTTAAAAAAATATTAACGCAAAGTTGTTTGTTTAATATAATAACTTCCATGAATAAAATTTTAATGTTATTGTAATCGTACTAGTGTATAGCAACAACAAGGGTTCATAATTTAATGGGTAATTCAAACAAAGCTCATAAAATAGCATTGTCATGACAACACTCTCTTATGCTCGTTCTTGATATTGAAAATTATGAAGAAATTCTTTGATGAAACCCCAGAATTAAGCGGGGTATTATTGTAGGTTAAGTAAATTTTGAGATCCTATTACTAAAGTCTATTACTTTACAGTACTTGGTATATGTGATAATATGTAATAAAGATAAAATTATTTAAAATTTTACACTAATTAATTTTACAACTACACGCATCCTGGCTATCTTGCAAAATTTATATAAAAACTTAACTTTTATCTTCACCACACCAGCGCTGTCCTTTTCCCATTTGTGACATTTGATCATACTCACAGCACATTGTCTTTGAGCTCGTTTTTGAGCCACGAATCCATTTTCATTATATTAATTTCACTATATAAAAATATAAAAAAGAAAACAGCCTAAGAATACTTCTGATATCACATCGATGTATAATCCAACTGTACATAAAGCTGCCTGACGCCCACAGAAGCAAAAATCATCTGCGTGTGGTTAACTACGTATTTAGGATCGACGTTTTTCGATACTTCTAATTTAATTGCACCTATATAGACATCACTACACAGTGTCCAGAAATGTGGATCCTGCACAGAGTACACACCGGCTAGGCCAGTTACTTTTTGATAGCATTGGGGCAAGAGATTGTCCAGGGCTGAGGGCTGCCTTTGCATCAGGACTAGGACTGATTCTTTGATCAGGGGCAAGACGCTGAGAGCTATCAGGATTGCTATAAACATTGAGCAAATTGGATCTGCTCTCATCCAGCCGAACATCTGTATTAGAATTTTATTTTTGTAGAGAATTTGTAATTGGAATAAATGATTAATGTGATTGAATGAACTTAATGGAAGCTATAAAACCATCTACCTTATATTACATGGACTGTTAGTCGAGCGCATAATAAGTGCTCAAACAAAGAAGGGTATGTGATGTCACATGTCTGAACGAACATTGCCGACGACAATCGCGGACTCTCCCGATTGATTCATTGTCATATGTTATATTATATATTTTAATTAAATAATGGCATTTGTGATGGCTGATAATTTTGTAAGAACTAATATTGACAATATTTGATATATATATATATATACTAGCTGACCCGGCAATCGTTGTTTTGCTAAGTGAGGTGTATTCAAAACAATTTCTAGAGAATCAAAAATATTTAATACTTTAAGTGTATAAGGATGATGTGTTGTTTGAATGCTATATACAATGAAGTATTATAAAAACAATAAACCCCATTAGTTTGTCTATATTTTGTCAATACAATCAAACCGGAAGATTTATACACTTTCTATAGAAAACATGGTATAATTCAATTCAAGTCTTTTTTGGTCTTTCGACTTATTGATTACGTTTCAAGTTTTTCAGATTCTTTTTGCATTCTGGATTTTGTATTCTGTAAATAATACTATTGAGCTTATACAAAATTTTCAAATTTTTGCAAGGAGAGATAGAAAATGAATTAAGTATTTCTTCTTTGACCTGCTTTTTGAAAAGTTTCAAGTGGCATTCGATGAATTAAAGTAAATTTAATAAAAAGTATATATGTAGAGCAGGGCGAGGCACAAAGGACCAATTTGACTTTGAGCAAATATAAACTATATTGTGAAAACCATAACAATTATATCTCAACAAATAATACATATCAAAGAACAATTATCTGATTACGTTCAGTAAAACTGCCAGCTACTTCATCATTGTAGAAATGTGCTTTTTTTATGTCTTTCAAAAATTTGTTATTTAGACCTTCTTACCCTATAGGCGGGGTAACTTGGAGCGGCCAGATGGCAAACGGGTTTAATGTCTTATTTTAATTTTAAAGGTATTTTACAAAATAATTACATTTTTAACTAATGCTAAAAATCTACCAACGGACTTTTATTGTGTATTTTCAAATATTATCGTTTATCTCCCAATATCAAAGTCATAAAAATCAAGGTTATAGCTGGTTATACATCTTTTTCCCTTTACTTTCAAGTAATGTTGTTACTGATTTTTGAAACTTTAGTTGTGGAACTTTTAACCCCGTACCTTCATATATTACTAACCATTTTTCAATAAATTCTGGGAAATTATAACTGGGAATAAGTTATTCGACAAAATGTACATGTAAATGTAAATGTATGTAATGTTCTTCTTCAGTCCTTGCATTTGCAATATTTCGCATTCTTCTTGCATTACGGCTCTGTTGGGAAAGATTTGATCGTATTGGTCGCGGCATTATTAAACTTCACTTCACCTTATATATATAGAACCAAGAACTAATATTCATTCACTATATTTAACATGAGGTAGTAGAGGGTAATTTCAATGACAGAAGCGCCGAATGACAGTTGACAATTGAAGGTAAATGTCATGGATGAAATCATTGATAGTATCGAATAAACTACATGCATAGTTTATAAATAATTAATTCTGAATTAGAATGAAAAACGGGATAAAAAGTATTTCATATGTTTCTCCTGGCTTTAAACTACCTCTCTGCCACCAATAGATTACTGAACCACAGCAACGCGTGGCCGGGCTAGCTAGTATATTTATATATATTTATATATATAGATATATAATGAATTAGAATGGAAAACGAGATAAAAAGTATTTCATATGTTTCTCCTGGCTCTAAACTACCTCACTGGCAATTTTCATCTAAATCGATTCAGCCGTTCGTGAGTTATAAGTGTTCTAACTTAAGCGATCCTCTTTTATATATATATATATATATATATATATATATACATATATATATATATATATATATATATATACATATATATATATATATATATATATATATATATATATATATATATATATATCAGCACATGCCATAGCAAGAAATATTGCACACCTCTCTTTTAATATTTCTACCACATACCTGCATCAAAACTGCCGATACAATAACACCAAATGATCCCAGAGTGTCAGCAAGAATATGCAAAAATACACCCTTCATAATCTGTGAATTACCACTCGTGAGATCAGTTGGAATCTCATGATCATGCGAATGTCCATGATTGACACCACCATTTGCTATGTGGCCACCATGAGAGTGACCATGGGATGCACCACCGCCATGAGAATGCCCATGGCCATGTTGGAAGGCATATATTCCGATTAGATTGACAATGAAACCCAAAACGGATACAACAAAGAGCCTGTCGTGTTTCACCTAAAAAGGTAATAGATATTGTAATAATAATATTAGAATAAGTTTTGAAGTAACATGTATAACATTTGTAAATATAAAAATAATAAATTGAAATGTATTTTTCTAATTATAATTTATTATTTACCTCTGGAGGTTCTATGGCTCGTTCGACAGCTTCAGACATAATGAAGAAAGCAATGAACAATAAAAACAGTCCGTTCACAAAGCCGGCCAAGACTTCAGCACGGACATAACCGTATGAAAATTTTTCATTTGCTCTCCATTTAGTAATAACAGATGCTCCAAGACCAGCTAACAAGCCGGTGCAATCAAAAAACATGTGAAACGAATCCGATATTAATCCTGTAATATAATAGATTGATTAATAGATAATTAATATAATAAAAGGATTTTTTATTACTATTAAGTACTTATAATGAGTTAGTAATAAATTCTACTTACCAAGACTGTTTGTCCATACACCATACAACAGTTCAACGAAAGCAAATGAAAAATTCAGCAACAAAAATAGAAATAGATTACGTGAATTTCTATCTGAAAATATAAGCCTCATCCATCCTGAAATTTTTTCCTTAATACGAGAACTTATACTCCTAGAGTCTCTATGTGTTAATGGAATCATTTTATCTGTGAAATCCAAACCAAATTTAATGCACTCCACTAAATGTACATATTGCAAGTTCAAATATGATTTAGTATATATATCATAAACATTAGTTTGAGTTGTTATTTAGCAAAAAATTATTTCATGTCGGATTAAAGTGGATTTAAACATTTAGATAACTTTACGAATTGCATACGTGTAATAATTTATTTATAACCTATAAAATTCCGGCCGTATGATAAAAAGTGTATACTTACGAAAGTTTATGCAGACAGTTGTTCTGAATTAACAAATTTAACAAGAATTTTAAATAAGAATATATAAATTAGTATAAATGCATGTTTGAGGATTTTTTAAAAAGGCATCTGTCAAATTGATAGAAGCCTGTCAAAATGAAAGACTAACCACAACCACTACATTCCACAGAAAATAAACTAAAATATTTAATGATAGATTTTGGAAATTTAAGATTTAATCAAATGCTGTATTAATAATGTGATAGTAATAGTTATATAATTATAGCATTTTTTATTAACATTTTATTTAAAATAAAATTTCGTTTTTTAGAAATCAAACATGAAGTTTGAATCGCATCAGGTAATATACCTGTGAAGAAAAAAATTTATATTAAAAATTGTTTTTTGAACACTTTTATACAAATTAAATTTTTAATACTCTATTTAATTTACAAAGTACTAAAAAACTAATTATATTATTTAAATAAAGCTTTAATTCAAATTGCATTATAGTTATTAGTAAGAAGAAGAAATTTTCGCATCTGGCAATACCTAAATGGAACGCTAAACTTCCTGCAGCCATTTTTCATTCCTTTCAATCGAAATGGTGAGTCGAGTTCTTTACTATTTTATTACAATCAGTAAATTATTTATATTTAAAAGTTGTTAAAACGATTTTAGTGTTGCGTTAGAATGTTTATATATATTTAATCTATAGTAATTGTTGGTTACACTTAGTTTTTGATTTTTATATATTTAATTACTACCACATGGTATGTCGTGTCATTTGTTGATTAAATACAAAATGTGTTGTGAAAATTGGATTTATACAGCAATTGAATACATAAATGCAATTTTGTTCGATTTTACTCGCGTATTTGGTAAATTTATAGATTTTGTGTGAAGTTTTACTTACCTTAACCTTAAATTTCAGCCGCCTAAGAAGGATTCAAAGTCTTCGGCTAAACAGCCACAAAAGACCCAAAAGAAGAAAGAGGGTTCCGGAGGTGGCAAAGCCAAAAAGAAGGTACGTCCCCAACAATACAAACTACATTTACTTAATCTTAAATGATGTATTATTTATGCTATATCCTACTGTGATAGTTTCTGATGTAATGAGTCTGATTAACCAAAAGATTTATCATTTATTATGTATTGTGCATTACTGTGTTACTATACATGTTCTTATATGTTTTTTTGTAGAAGTGGTCCAAAGGAAAAGTACGTGACAAGTTAGACAATCAGGTCTTGTTCAACAAGGAAACTTATGACAAACTGTACAAGGAAGTACCCCAATACAAGCTAATCACTCCCTCAGTCGTTTCCGAACGTCTGAAGATCCGTGGCTCTTTGGCCAGACGTGCCCTCATTGAATTACGTGAGAAAGGTAAAAACATCAATAAACAAATCAACTAAATTATATTTCCATTGATTTTTATATTACAAGAGAAAAGGATATGCATAATTTCCATTAAGTTACTTTTTAACTAAATTATTTAATTTTCCCAAATTTAATTCCTTCATAACTTTAATTTCTATAATCCAGTTTCTTTCACGTTCATTCTCTTTTGTTTTTATTAAAGTCGCCTTGTAAGTTCATCTTGAATGGGCGTTTTGAAATTCTCGATTTATTTTGCAGGTCTCATCAAGCAAGTTGTACAGCATCATGCACAACTCATCTACACGAGAACAACAAAGGGAGATGATACAGTAGCATAATGTACTTTCTTATATTAAATAAAAAATATAAAAGATAATTGAATTTGTTTCAATCATTATTCCTTGCCACTTTTTAAAATATCCATTAATTTATTTTGTTTATAGTATACTTATATATATATACATATATATATATATATTTGATTTTATAGAAAGGTTGAATTTAAACAATTGCTTGATCTATTTAATTTTCATTTCAATATTTGATTTTGCAATCATAATAAATATTATGTTATGGGGTAACAGTTTTGCTTTGTTAACATGGTTAAGTTCTACGATAACATTTTTATTTAAAATGTTTATAAACTATCAACCACAAGCATTATTGATACAAATACTTTTTTTTTATTTTTGTTTTTTTTTTGTTAATATATCATTCAATCATATTTTATGAAATTAAATGAATGCATGTTGATTGTATGCATATAAATATACAATAAAAATAAAATATTTAAACTATTATTTTTATATAAAAACTATTTAAATAAAAATTGTTTATAAACTTAATCATTTATTTTTATAAGAAAATATTTCATTAATTCAATTAATAGAAAAGTATGTTTTCTAGTACTTTATATTTATTCTGTCCTTAAGTCAGCGATTTCAAACTGAGTGGCGCAATACTGTTGAAAAAATTAATAACTAGTTGTAAGTGGCATTTTGCCTTAAGGAGAATTGCAAAATCTTCCTGATAAGTATACATAATCGACATAAACAATGAGCATTGAGATTTAGTTTACATTTTACAACTGTTTGTTTCAAAATTAATAATTTCTAATTGATATCATTCAAACAGACTTATAATATCTGTGATTATATTACTTATAGTGTACAGATACGCACTTAGAACATACATAATATGTGTTCCAAGAGAGCAGTCCATAAATGTTTATAATTCAACCACTTTTCGTAGGCCTATAATATTGTAGCATGTTTGTTGTGTTCATGAAAAACATTATGGCAATATTAATGGGTCAATTCTGCCATAACATAGCGTTGTCTTGGAAACGCTATCTTATGCTTGTTTCTTGTTAAAGAAAACTCTGAAAAGTCTATATATTTGCTGTGTGATCTGGCTTATTTTACATATAAACTAGCAAGAAAGAATCTTATAACTGCATTATCGAAGATTCTGTTATCATAAGATTTTTCCTTGCAAATAAATAGACATTTTCACAGTTTTTCTAACAAGAAACAAGCATAAGATAGCGTTGTCAGAATTGCTCCATTAATATAGCCATAAAGTTTTTGATGAACACAACAAACATCCTAAAATATTATAGGCCTACGAAAAGTGGTTGAATTATAAAAAAATATGGGTAGCGCCCTTAGGACATACTACGTAGTATATTCCAAAAACGTGGAAAAGGTTTTTTTTTCACAGAAAAACTGCCCAACTGACTTTTAGCATGATTCCTAATCAATATCTTTCTTTTGAATTTTCAGAATCGATTCAGAATTTTTGGCTAAAACGTGGCTAATTGTAAAGAAACGGCTTGGCCGATCTTTACGCAAAATCTAATTAAAGCGAGTCCTTAGGGGGCGTCCATTAATCACGTGATCGACTTTTTTGAAAGATTTTGAGCCCTCCTCCCCCTTGGTAATATTCAAAATTACCCCTCTTTCCACACCAAACATTACGTGTATTTTTAGTTACCAGAAAAAATTGTAAAATTTTTATTTTTTTTTGAAAATGTTTGTTTTTTTTTAAAAAAAATAAGGTAAAAATAATTGAACACACGTGATATCACAAGTAAATTTTATCAAATACTTAACAAATAACAACGACTTTGAATTTGACATTTCATTATTTAGCAATAAATAAAAAAATCGGGACATTTTTTTGGTTTTTGTTAAATAACTCAAAAATTTCATATAGAACCACCCCTTTTCAGTTAGATAGAGTGAAACTAGATAAAATTTACAACATTTCCTAGGAAACACTTTTATACACTGTGATATAAAAGTTTTGAATAAAACTACTTGGATTTCGATATTTCAATCTTTAGTAGGAATAAATAGAAAATTCATGACTTTTTTTTGGTTTTTGTCAAATAACTCAAAAATTTCATATGGAACCACCCCTTTTCAGTTAGATAGAGTGAAACTAGATAAAATTTACAACATTTCCTAGGAAACACTTTTATACACTCCGATATAAAATTTTTGAATAAAACGACTTTGATTTCGATATTTCATTCTTTAGTAGCAATAAATAGAATAGAATTCGGGACATTTTTTGGTTTTTGTCATATAACTCAAAAATTTCATATGGAACCACCCCTTTCCAGTTAGATAGAGTGAAACAAGATATAATTTACAACATTTCCGTGACAATTCACGTGATATCTTACTATCTTACTATACTCCTGGGGTAGAACTCCACGTGATGTCTTGTGATTTTTTGTCTTTGTTTTGTGAAAAATTATGGAAGCGCTAAATTTTCCTGTTAAAAACTGGAGAAGCACAGATACAAAAAGGTTGGAAACCACTGTGCTATTAGCGTTACTATTGTGCTATTAGGGTACTATTAGCGTTACGCGCGGGTGTACTGGCACCGTTTTTTTCAATTTTCCAATGTGTTCCACCAAATTGTTTTGAACAATATTTGCAGTACTTAAAGAAGAAACATTAGGCTTTCGAATAACGCTAATTAGAAAGTGGTCCAACTAAACGCACTACACGAAAACATCAATTGAAAAAGTATTTTGTCTTTTTCAGCTAATAATAAACGATTTTTGGGCATTGATTGTTCTACAAAATGTGGTCTGAGTCAATGTGAGTAGAATCACGAAAAAATTTTTTTGGTATCTTTTACGGTTACGCCAAAAAGTGAGTTTGAAAGAAGGGGCCACTTTGGCATATTTTCAATGATATCTCGGCCATAAGATGAGGTACAAAGTTGAAAATTGGTATATCGGTTTTTATCAAATAGACCTATAAAATGGCGTATAAATTATTTAAATGCCATTTAATGGGGCCGATTCTGTATGGCAATGCGCTCATACCCTTCATAAGACTAATAATAAATCTTTTACGACTTACCCAGAAAGTAATGCCGCGTATGCCGGTGTGCCGGATCCTGCAGCGCCCACCACGGGCTGTCCGGAGGTCGTCATCCTTCCCAAAACTGAAGTGCCCTTGTCCTTGCGCACTCTGACCCACTCGTGGGACATCACTCGGTCGAGGGTCAGGCGAAGTGTTATGTCCGGTTCTAGGACGTGACGTACCTTGTCAACACAATCAATATCAAATATACTTTAACTAGTTGGTATTGGTATTACAGAAACTGCAGACATTACAAAATAAGACACTACGACTAGTACTTAATAAAATAAGGGACCCACTGACTAGACACTACTACTCTTCAAAATTCATACATAAACAGACTGACGTACCGACAATACTCGACTATATAAAAAAGCTCACCAGAAATTTTTATCTAAAATGTGGGGATCATCCTAATACTAACATCGCGGGTCTCGGGCAGTTTACGAGGGACGTAATATGGTATGGCAATCACGCCATGCCAAACTATATACTGATCAACCCATAGCGGCTAAAAAGGGAGCATATTATTTATGTGACTCCTCTCTCTTAAAGGGAGTTAACAAAACATATAATTATTAATATATAAAGAATCTGTATTTTTTTTTGGGAGAAAGTTTATTTTTCTCTTTTTAGTACACACATACAATCATATTGTATACATATTGTAAACTATATTCATCAAATATATTAAAAACATATATGTGATATAAAATACCCACGGGTAAAAAAGTATGTACAAAAGGCAATACTGAAAAATGTATTTTAAATATTGAAATAAATACTTTTGTCTGTCTGTCTGGTATTGGTATTGGTATTTTGCCTTGAGGCAAGTTACATAAACTTCTCGATATGTGTAAATAATCGACTTAATCAATAAAATTGAAATTAATTTATTAGTGATTGAAAGTATTCCGAGTGAATTTATTAGACATTATTGAACGAACAGGTTAACTCGGAGTATTTTCTAATAGCAAATTTTCAAAAATCAATAATTTTTATAATTAAACCAGTTTCCGCAGGGCTTTAATGGTAGGTATGTTCATTAAAACCAAGTACTACTATCGTTATACCAAGTAAATCGCCTAAATAACTTCCCGAAGGAGAAGTTTATGTTTTCATCAAAAAATACGATTCGCTAATTTTATGTTCTCTCGACGTTTCAAGCCGTTCTGAATCGAATGAGACCAAATTTGGAAAAAGTATGTATGTGTGTATGTGAACAGATTTTTTGCCGTAAATCGACGTTTTCTCAAAAACGGCTGGACTAATTTCAAAAATTTAAAAGCCACTCGATGTGTCTCGATGAGGACTATCGTTTGCTAGTTTTGTGCAACGATAGGCCGAGACGTTTCTTTATAAATAGCAAAAAAGTGAAAAATTTTTCGTTCACGTTTTAGCCCGCAATTCTGAATCGATTTTGAAAATTCAAAAACCGTTCGAAAAATATTGTTCGAGAATCATGCTGATTAGTTTTTGGTGAAGATCGGCCGGGCCGTTTTCTTGTAATAAAGTGTTAAAAAATTTTTTTTCGACGATTTTCATTTTTTTTTTGACGGTAGATACCATAGTCTTCTAGATCATACTAAAATATTACGGCTCTACGATAATTGGTTTAACTTTAAAAATTAGTCAAAGTTTCCAAATATTGGTATCGTTTTTTCGCATTTGTCAAAATTAGACCTTTCATCGACATTTTCTCAAAAACGCCTGAACCGATTTTAGAAATTTAAATGCCATTTGATGTATCTCGATGAGGACTATCATTTGTCAGTTTTGTGCGACGATCTGCTGAGCCGTTTCTTTGTGATTTGGGAAAAAGTGTTAAACTTTTGATCCACATTTAAGCTCATACTACCAAGTCGATTTTAAAAAATCAAAAACTGTCCGAAAGATATTAGTTGGGATTGATGCTGATTAGTTTTAGCTGAAAATCTACCGAGCAGTTTTTTTGTAATTAACTGTTGAAAAAAAAATTTAAGCCGATTTTTATGGAACTTTTTTATGCGATATATATCATGGTCTTATAGGACTTACTGCAATATTACGGCCTTACGACAAGTAGTTGAATTTTAAAAATTCATCGAAGTTTGAGAAAATAAGTAGTTTTTCTGACGTTATCTAAAATAAAAATTAGACGATTTACTTGGTATAACGATAAAGTACTTGGTCTCAATGCACATACTAAACCATTAAAGTCCTAGGGAAACGGGTTCAATTATAAAAATTAGTAGTATCAAATATCTCCATATATGACAGCACTTTGAACTTGACCACATTCTCTCTAATAAATAAATATTTTCAATGTTAAATTAAGAGAATAAGATCTAGAAATAAAATAATTCAAATATTTTTCTGTTTTTTTGCTGATTTTTTAACACTTCAATGGCAAAGTAGCTAGAAGTAAGTAGCTTGATAGATCTTATTCGCTTAATTTAACATTGAAAATATTTATTTATTAGAAAGAATGTGGTCAAGTTCAAAGTGCTGTCATATATGGAGAGATTTGATACTACAGCGAGAGCAGCAAAGATTTTGAGGCGGCCGTACTCTCAGACTGTCAATTTTACAAAAAAACGGTTTTCTAAAGAATTGTAGAAAATTTTATCTAGTTTAATTCGTACATAAGGTAAAAGACCCAGTTATTGACCCTGGCCCAGTTTCTGACCTTTTCAACTTTTTTTGGAATTAATTAAAAAACTATACGTTTAATGTGAAAATAATTTTTTTCTTAATTGACAGTAATTTATTCTATGCCTCATTAATGTCAATTAAAAAAATATAAAAAATATTAACTAAATAAAAAAAAATTTTTAAACCAAAAGTGACTGTGGAAGCCATTTTTTAGCTTTAGTCTAAACAGTTTATGTAAGGAGCTACGACAATTGAGTTCGTGCACTAATTATGATGTAAGTACGAAAATCTAACTAAAAATATACAAATAAGTCAATAATTAATTAAAATTTATTTTAAAATATTTATAAAACATATTAAATTTAGTTTTATTACTGAAATTTGAGGGTCAATAACTAGGCTCAATTTTAAGTGTATGTCACAGTTGTTGACCCTGCAATTCTAACCTTCTAAAAGCTAGGTTATCTGTCACATGTTTTTAGTCACTTGTTCATTAAATGTAAAAATAATAATATTTATTGTTATCTTATATTTTTTTTACTATTTTTCGTAGTAAAGTGATAAATTTACATTTAATATTCATTGGTATAAATGAAAGATTGTATTTAAATCTTGTAAATACATCTTTTAAGTGATAAAATTATTAATAAAAAAATGTCAGTTTTATCAACGCTTAAATTATGACTGTTTTAGTTTACTAATATTTTTATTATTATACAATTATACAATTACAATTAATTGAATGAAAATTAGAAGAAGAAAAAGAATTGAAAAAAGCTGAAAGGTCCAAAAATAAAGCCATCAAGGAGACAGAAAAAATAATTAAAAAAGAAAAACTTGAAGAAAAAAAGAAACAAAAAGCTCTTAAAATAAAAAAAAGTCTAAGTAATTTAAATAATTAATTTTAATTTTTTTGTTTGTGTAATATGTTATAACAAGACTTGAACTATTTATACGTTAAATTTTAACAAACTGTATATTTTTAGAATAAATATTTAATTTATTTATTTTAATAATAATTTCAGTTTATTTAAAATTAGTAAGCACTTCATAACCTAATCATGATTAAATTTGAGGGTCAGAAATTGGGCTACGGTCAGGGTCAGAAACTGCCACACGAAGAATTCTTAGGGTCAGAAACTGGAGCTCTTAATGTCAATTTTTAAAACGTCAATTTAAAATATAAATTTAGTTCAAATAATTTTTTTATGCACATTACTTTATTTTAAAAATCCTAAACTAATAGATAAAATTATAATTTTCTTCATTAAGTTAAGTTTTATATTAATTATTATAGTTTAACCTCCACCGTCACTCTAAAAAGGTCAGAAACTGGGCCCCTTACCTTAGATACTTTTATCGTAGAATAAGCCAGAAAGGAGATATTTTAAAAAAGCTGTTTTTGACGCCATTTTTCCAATAAGGCGGCAACTTGCCGTTTAAATTTGAGGTGGCAAAGTTGATTTTCGTAAAGAGAGCACCTCGAAATCTATAAGATTACCAATTTTCAGAAATTCCGGAGTACTGTACCGGCAAAACGACCAAATGACTGGACTATATACGAAACAACCTAATGGTTCTTTCTTTATGATTTCTATGATCAGTTTATTATTACCGGGACAGCGCGTACGCAGTCCCGACTACCAAAAATTACGCGCCCGAGTTATCCACATTAGGGACAATCGCAGGGGTCAGCCCAACCGAAGTGCAATGGAAGGGCCTCGCCCTGGGGGAACCGCCTTAGTGATCACGGTAGCCCCCACGCCAGGTAAGTATGCTCTACGGTCGAAAAATCGTCGACTAACCGAGAACGGTCTATGTTTCACAACGTGCAGGTAGTCGCTCGCCGTGCGTGAGCTACGCGCAGACATCTGTTAGTACGTAACATAACACTGGGGAGCGGTTCTCAGGAACGATACAAGAATATAAGCGGATAAGCGGCACTAGTGGGCCGCATGGCATCGTGCCTTAAGGCAAATTGCTGGAACTTCCCGTACCAAAAATTATTATTTTTTTAAACAGTTATTTAAGATTAACATTTTGAAAAAAAAAATTTAACTTCGAAAAAATTAGATTTTTGAGAAACTATAAATTTGATAAATTTTTTTTTTTTTTGAAAAAAAGTGTTTTTTTCATTTTGACATATTTTCGAAATTCTGAACTTTTTTTATAGCAATCGTACTACTTTAACTGCATAGAAACGATATGTCAAAGCGCATAAGCGCCGCCTCGACGGCTAACAGATAAACATTGGCACGGAACCCATAGGAATATAATCAAAATTTATACTTATTGTTAAAATCTCAATAAAATATCTGATAATTTGATGTGCATATATCTAATGATCATTTTTGACCAGATGGCATTTTTTTTTACTTTTTTTACTAGATCTCCGAAACCGCTAAACCTGCTATCATGAAAATTTGATCAATTCTTCATCTTGTTAATACAAGTCTAGCGGTTTCGGAGATCTAGTAAAAAAAGTAAAAAATGCCATTCGGCGGTTAAAAATGATCATTAGACATATGCACATCAAATTATCAGATGTTTTATAGAGATTTTAACAATAAGTATAAATTTTGTTTACATTCCTATGGGTTCCGTACCAATGTTTATCCGTTAGACGGCGACGCGGCTGTTACGCGCTTTGATATTTCGTCTCTATGCAATTAAAATGGTACGATTGCTTTGAAAAAAAGTTCAGAATTTCCAAAATATTTCAAAATAAAGAAAACATGTTTTTTCAATATTTTTTTTTTCAAAAAAAGTAATTTTTGTTCATAGTTTCTTAAAAATCTAATTTTTTCGAAGTAAAATTTTTTCAAAGATGTTAATCGTTTTTAAAAAAATAATAATTTTTGGTACGGGAAGTTCCAGCAATTTGCCTTAAGGCTAGATGCCATGCGCCCCACTAGTTAATATTAATATCTTATCATAGGCTCATATAATATTTTAGTATCTATGATAGTTATAATCATGGAAAGATTTATCAAAATAGTCAATTTAATTTCAACAACTGTCCGGGCGATATATTCCAAACGGTTTATTTTATGATTTTGAAACAAGGGCGAAAATTTTAGAACTCTTCTCCTAATTTCAATTCGAATGGCTTGGAACGTCGAGAAAACATAAAATTAGCGAATCTGATTTTTTGATGAAAACAAACTTCTCCTTTGGGAAGTTAAAAAATCTCATTTTACTCTCAATTGAGACTACTTAAGGTACTTAAGTACTATTTCTACTCACCAATGATTTAGCAAGCGCCGACACGCTATCCCTAACCCTGGACCTGAATACAAAATTCCTGGACATCTGGTCCTTCAACAGCTTCCTTAAATTCGAATCGTCAAAAGGCATAGACGAATTCAGCATAATGAATAATATGATTCCCAAAGACCACACGTCAGCCAGCTTCGGATTGTAAGGGGTACCGCTTACGACCTCAGGAGCCGCGTACGCCGCCGACCCGCAATAAGTCTGACTCAAGGCACGGCGACCTGGGTAAAGGATAAAAAAATTAGAAAAATTGTATTATAATTATGTTATTATTTTTACCCTTGCCTTCGTGGTCGATGCAGAACCTGGCGAATCCAAAGTCCGCCAATTTAACATTGAAACGTCTCGACAGCAGTATATTCTCGCATTTGAGATCGCGATGTGCAATATTTTTGCTGTGTAGATAATGCAGTCCGCTGGCCATTTGTCGAAACCATAATTTGGCCTGCGGCTCGGGAACGACGCCGTTCCTTTTGATGAAATCTAATAGGTCACCGTTGTCCGCGTAACGCATGAAGATGAAGACGCGAGGGCCACGCTGGAGAATGCTGTGAACCTAAAAAAAGAAAAAAAAATAAAATACAAAATTTAGAGTAGACATGACACAAAGGTCCATTTTGAATTTCAGTACTTATATTGTGAAAATCAAACCAACCAAATTCACATTACAGCAAACAGCACATATCAAGCCAATAACTATTGAACTATGTTGAATAAAATTCCCATCTAATGCTTTTTAATATTTTTCTAAAATTGTTCATCTGTCTTTCTTTATTTTTAACCCAAGGCGGAGTAAAAAGGGATAGCCAAGAGGCAAAAAGGTCCACTATTTTATTTTTACAAACATTACTTACTTACATTACCTACATTATTTAATCAATGAGTTGCTGTTTAATTATTTAGTAGAAACAATTAAAAATTTTAATCCAAATTGTTTTCAAACTACTATCACAATCGATTTATTTGCCAATTTATTTTATTTAAGTGTACGTGAAATTTTGCCTTAAGTTATGTCGCAATAACTTCCCGAATAAGAATTGAAATTTAAAAATTGTCACCATAAAAATGAACTAGCTATGTAAGAAAAATAATTTAAATTCTATAAGCGCTAGTCAAGTCGCCCTCACCTAACACAACACTTTCTCATACTTTTTTACTTAGGCTCGGTTATGCATGAGAAGCGTTACTAATTATAAAATGCAGGGTAGGCGGGGTACGAAGGTCGCATACTGTGAAATCAACTACATCCCAGCAAACAGCACATTTCAAACTAATAGATATTGAATATGTTCAGTAAAATTCCCAGCTAATGTTTTTTTATATTTTTCTAAAACTGTTTATCTGTCTCTTTTTATCCCAAATAAAGTAAAAAGAGACAGCCAAGGGCAAAAAAATCCACTATTAACTTTCTGTAGGGTAAGTTATTGTAATGGCCGAAAATCAAAATTAAAATTTTTTACATTTCTCGACGTTTTGAAGGTTTCTGAACAATTTGGCATACTTCAGAAAAAATGGATGTGTGTGTGTGTGTGTATGTATGTATAAATACAATTTTTCGTCCACGTTTTCGGGCTCACGGATCAACCGATTTGAATGGTTCAAAAAACATTCGATCTCTATTGATAGGGAGATGTGCTGATTAGTTCTTGGCAAAGACAGGTCCAGCCGTTACGGAGATACGGAGCAAAGAATGCAGAAAATACAAATCGAGGTTTTGAGAGAACGGAGTATCGAATTTGAATGATCCAAAAAGCATTCAATTTGTAATGATTGGGAGAAGGGGTGATTAGTTTTTGGCAAAGGCAGGTCACGCCATTTCGAAGATACAGAGCTAAATGTGCAAAAAATGGTAGTTTTTGAGAGAACTAAGCGTCCGATTCTAATGATCTAAAAAACTGTCTGCTTGTATCGACAAAACAATTTGAGGATACCTTTTGAGGATAAAATAATTACATCATTTTTTATTCTCAATAAAATATTTTTGTAATTTTTGATTAAAAATTCAAAAAATTACCCAGGCTAAGCACAGTCTAAGCGCCACTCTGGTACAAATGTTTACCCAAGTGCGTTTAGACTGTGACTATACGGGAGCACTTTTTCAATTTTGTGTAAATTAGGCAACTATTTTTTTTTAAATTGAATTCGAAGTGAAATTACGATGTTAATGTTCTGTATATAAATTGATTTATGATTTATGATTTACATTTGATTTGATTCAGATATAACAATATGGCAAAAAGAATGAAAGTTACAGTATTTGTAATAATATATTTGAAAACGTTTAAAATATCTCGAATTACGGTACGGGAAGTTCCAGCAATTTGCCTTAAGGCACGTTGCCATACACCATTAGTTTATTATTATTATTTCTACCTGTATAATGTGCGGATTCTCGATCTTCGTCAAAATTTCCAACTCCCTCGGGAAAAACTTGTCTAAAAAATCTCTCGGTGCCTTCTCCTTGTCGAAAATCTTGCAGGCGAGGCGCATCTTCTTCGGGCCCGACGTCGAGTCGACGTAGTCCGCCAGGTGGACGGAAGCGTACGAACCCTTGCCAATAGAAAGGAAAAGGAATAATTAATAATTTTTTTGCTTAATTTAATCGATTTTACTCTATATCTATTATCTAATTACCTGTCCGATCTTCTTGCCGATCATGTAGCCGCGCTGTTCGAGAGCGTTCACCTCGCTATTACGCGGGCTGACGCTCAGCCGTTCCGTCATGATGGCGGAGGGTTTCTATTTTTTTTGGGGGTGTTGAATTTTGGGGATAGGAAGGTGTTTTTTGAATTTTCCCGTTTTCGGCGCCTGCTGATGATCAATTTGGCGCTCTCCGTCTGCCAAACTCACCGGGCATAATTTCCCACCACTCGCAAATTTTGACCCGTCTCAAGCTGAAAGGTAAAAGACACATGAAATATATAGTTATGGAAATATTTTTATGAAAATTTTGATAGAAATCTTATTAACTTCCAGTAGAGTTAAAGTTGAAGTAAACGAAAAAAATGGAAAATGATATTTTTTGTATATTTTTATGTTGTTTCCAAAGTTTCTGAATATTTTGGCACATGGCGTAAGTATAGGGTGGCTCACTTAAAAATTGGAGTTCATGGATAGCAACTTGCCTGTAGGCCACACCGTTCGGAATTCAAAGTTGCGATATATAGGAAAAAACTAAGAATTTTGAGACCTTTCTAACGATGTATAATACTTTATATGTTTTTTTTCAGAAATATCTAAATCGTAAGATCACTAGATGACTAGAACCACTAGATGGACGTTACGTTTAAATACAAATTTTTGTCGACGATTTCGAGAGCACGAATTATTCGATTTGAACTATTGACAAGGAGACGTGCTGATTAGTTTCTGGCAAAGGCAAGTCCAGGTGTTTTGGAGATACGGAGTAAAGAGTGTTTTTGAGAGAACCGAGCAACCGATTTGAATGATTCAAAAAACATTTTATTTGTATTGACGTAATGAAGAATTGGTTGAATTTTTGGAAGAGCAAGTTCAGCAATTTTGAAGGTCTAATGATTTTTTTTTTTAAAAAAATGCCATTTGGCGGTCAAATATGATCAAAATTACGGGAAGTTCCTGCAATTGGCACTAGTGATGTAGTAGTTTATTATATTAAATATAATCTAAATTTAAAACTGATTCAAACAATTGGAATGTCTTTATCATCTTATATCATTTTTACACATTCTACTGATATTTATCTGAAGAATTCACAAAGTTGAGTATTTACAAAAAAACGTCAATAAAATGCATTCCAAACGTAAATTTTGCATTTTAATGAAAAATTTACAGTCAAAAATAATCTGAAAAATATTTTTTGTTTACGTTTAAAATTTAATTCGACATGTTTAATTTCACACAAAATTTTACTAGGTGTAAGTGGCATTTTGCTTCTTGGCTATTTGCATGAACTTCCAAAAAATCAACTTGTGCAATAACAATTTAGATTTGATGAAAACTTCCATAAAAATCTACAAATAATTTTTTTTTCAACAATTTCAAGAAACTGTCCGGTTGATCTTTACCAAAAACCAATCAGCCGATTTCCAACTAAACTTTCTGAATTTTTTGTCAGAACGTCGATGACAAATTTTGCACTTGTAATTACAAAGAAACGGCTCTGCCGATCTTTTTGCAAAATTAATTATTACGAGTCATCATCGATTTCCCTCGAATGGCATTCAAATTTTTAAAATCGGTCGAGCCGTTTTTGAGAAAATGTCAACAAAAGGTCGAATTTCTTAATTTGAGCCTCAAACGTTTCAGAATGACTTGAAACGTCGAGAAAACATAAAATTAGCGAATCGGAATTTTTGGCAAAAAAAGCATTTCTAAGAATTATTGATTGAATTTTGATTATTGCAAGTCGACGAAAGGTCTAATTTCGACACATATACACACTTTTCTTAATTTAGGTCTCAAACGTTTCAGAATGACTTGAAACGTTGAGAAAAGGATAAAATTAACACGTCGGAATTTTTGGCAAAAAAAAGCATTTCTAAGAATTAATTACTGACTGAATTTTGATTTTTGCAAGTCGTCATCGTTTCGCATCGAATTGCATTTAAATTTGGCCGGTGCTCGTAGAACATATTAGTCTCATGCTCGATTTTCGCTCAATAATGTGTAAAATTTGAACTTTTTATCAAAAATATTCAAATGTGCCCTACATCAACTGAGTATGCTTATAAATCAATCATAAACTAATATATTAAAATTTTTCATTAATATTAATATATATTTTTCATTTACTATTTACACGTGTCCGGAAGTTCATGCAACTTGCCATAAAGCAAATTGCCACTCACATCTAGTTATTACTTTATTACAGGTCCCATAAGTAGTTACCAGCTGATTAAATTTAAATTTAGTATTACTAATTTTAATTTCATTGTCCTAAATCTAAAACTAACTGTTAATTTATTCAAAAACGATTCCAAATTTTGACTTATGTCAAATTGAAATTTGAAATTTTTCGTAAAAGGAGCCCCCGTAGAGGAGCAGCTCCTAAGTCATTAAATCTATCATATATTATATCAATGCAGTATACTCACAAATCATGTTAGGGACACAATATATACGAACGAAATTTGATTTCACAAAAAATTTAACATCGTTAACACATTTTCAATTTTGTTTACTTGTTTCCAAATAAATATGATTGCATTTTGTTTCGATTTTCGGAACCCACGTGTAATAATTCTTACTGAATTTGGAAAAGATTTTTGACGACATTTTTAATTGAACACTGTTTTAAACTATAATTAATTATGTTGAACATCAAACAAAAAACATTTTGTATTAGAAATTTTTTGAAAAAACGGTTGGATCAGGAAACGGAAGTATTGAAGGATAGAAGGGATAGATAAGGAACAATGAGGTTGTTAGGAATAAAATAATTCCCCTGAATATGATTTTGAGATTTTTAAGAAGACCATTGATGCAAAAATGACCACAACTGAGAACTTGGTAAAAAAAGGTAATTGTTTGTAAATTAGGAGGATCAAGGAAATTATCATCAAAATGTTAACAAACTGGTGCAAGTAGCATTTTGCCTTAAGGCAAGTTGTATGAACTTTCCGACATGAGTAAAAAAATTACCCAATAAGAAATCAACATTTAATTCATTAGTATTAGTGTGAGTATTAACTTCATGTAGGGTAAAGTAAAGTAATTGCAAAAAAATCGAAAATGAAAATTTTTGAGCATTTTGGCACACCTTAGGAAAAATGGATGTATGTGTGTGTGTGCGGATACAAATTTTCGTCGACGATTTCAATCAAATCAAATTTTTCAAGAGTCAATTTTTTTCAAAAATTTCCAAATTTCTCAAAAATCTATTTTTGTCAAAGTTTTTTTTAATAATCCAGTTGTCGGTACGGGAAGTTCCAGCAATTTGCCTTGTGGCACGTTGCCATGCACCACTAGTTTTATTACATATTAATGAAGAAAAAACTCGACTAATATAATATACACAAGGAGTATTTTCTGAAAGCCGCTTAATTTAAATTTTAATTAATTTTTATAACTAAACCACTGGGCTTCCACAGCCCTACAATATTTTAGGATATTACTAATTCGCCGTACAAAAATTAATTAAAATCGTCGAAACAAAAATTTGACTAACAATCGCAAAGAAACGGTCTGGCCGATCTTTATAAAAAACTGGTTTGCACGATTTCCAAAATAATTTTTTTTCGATAGTTTTTGTATTATCAAAATCGATTCAGGATTTTTGGCAAAAGCGTGAGCAAAAATTTTTGCGCTTTTGTATTAATTTTGAAGAAACAGGTGAGCTGATTGTATCAAAAAAAAATTAACCAAAGCTTTTCGAATGGCTTATAAACTTTTGAAAAAACGCCGACAAAAGGTAAAAACGACTCGACTCACGCCCACACATACATACATACATACATACACACACACACATACTTTTCCCACAATTTGGTCTTATTTACTGCAGAATGACTTGAAATGTCGAGAAAATGTAAAATGAGCAAATCAGATTTTCTGGCAAAAACAAATTTTTTGAGAGAACGTTAGACGGAAAATTTTACATCTTTATAAATACCTTTATATACTTTTATAAATTATATTGCAAGCAAAAAATAATTATTTATGTGTTTTCGCAATATTTTCATTTTATCATTTAACAAAAAGTTATTTATAAATTTTAATTTTATCAGCAACTATCACTAATAATATAACAACATATAAAATAATGGATTAATACATAGATATATATATATATATATATATATATATATATATATATTCAATTTTGAAATTATTACCATATGATGTATCTTATGTTATTCAAATTGATTGTTTTCGACATGCATGATGTTTTTTTGTAACTATTCCTGTATATACTCCAAAAAACTTGTAAATAAAAAGTATTTGATAGATTTAAGAAAAATCCTTCAGTGTTATAGAAGATTTACATCTGTATATGCAAATATCTCCAAAGAAATCCGATTTTCATTCAATTCATATCATTATAACCTAAAATTCAAATTCACATTGCAACTATAAATAATATATATTTAAAAATATTATTCCTTATCAACTACATAAGTATACAAATCTATATAATAGTGAATACATAAAATATATCATTCAATCGTTAATACTTTTCCAACATTGCCTCATAATAATTGATATGCCAACATAATTTATTGTCTTTTAATGATACTTTCAATGATATGGAATGGTTCATTGGATGGAATTATTATAATAATATAATACTTAATTGATTGCATATTAACACTACTTTACTACAGATGCAGAACTCCATCATTGTTTTTAATAGGCGTGGAAGGTGATGTGACGGAACTATCATCAAGGCCACCACTGGTTAAGTCTAATATCTCATCTTGGTCAAATCTAGAAAAAACCACACGCAACCAAAATAATAAGATACAATCCCTTGAGATTATTTTCATGTGTCTATTACTATTATTACCTGTCCTCTGTGTCAGAGCCTGTCGTTGGTTGTGATTGTTGCGATCCGTTTGACAACTGACTAGTTCTGGAGAAAGAGCCCCTGTGGGGCGCAACAGTTCGTTGATTCGCTGGTTTAACTGTGACTATTAAATTAGAACTGTTGGCCACCATCATGTCTGTGACTTGGTCCAGAGTTTTGCCAGCTACTTCGATTCCATTTACTTCTAACACTTCATCGTTTACTGCCAATAAACCGGTGCTTTCGGCTAGGCCTCCGGGGACTAGCCTGGATATAAATATTCCTGGTTGCTTTTCTAGGCCGGCGGAAGTTACTCGCACTGACGTACCATCGCGAATATAAAATCTAGAGAAGAAAGGATATATTTATAATAAATTATTCGATATAATGTTTTTGATTTATAATTTTTTATATATATATATATACTAGATGACCCGGCAGTCGTTGTCCTGTACCCACGTCTACAATTCAAAAGTTCCATTTTTATTAATATCCTATCCTATTCTTTTTAATATCCTATTTGATGTCCAGCCTTTGTGACTTATTTATGGTCTTAGCATAAACAGTGTAAGAAATTCAGAAAAAAATAATATAGTAAATGCGGTAAAAGAACAATATCACACTTGATTTTACCACACAACATAATTGCTTCAATAATTTAGTCTATAATTTTAATAAACTCGTACAATATATTAGTTGCTTTTTGGCAATTATAATTTCTAAAGTACATTTTTCTTACTAATTATTTAATAAACATTATTGTTTGTGTTCAAATCTTAGGTAAATTAATTTGTAAAATCTAGTTCATATGTGCACTCTTCAATCTAAGATCAACTTGCTAAATATTCCATATCCGATGCCAAACAAATGAATTTTTGATACATGAAACAAAATTCTAAATCATTCTTTAATACGTAGAAATATTTTTTTGTATTGTTAAATAATTGAGTCAAGTAGTCCAAAATGCAACATGCATTAGTTTAAAAAAATAATGTATATGCAATTTTGGACTTGTTGCGTTATTTATTAAACTGAATTATATACTATTGAAACATATACTATTGACTGTATCTTATATTATTTTAATTTCTGGCGCATCTCATCTGCCTTTCGGCAATAATAATGTATACATTACATTTTTCTTGTATATTATATTCTAATATTATCTAGGCTCATAATTTCAGCTAAATTCAAATTTCAAGTGAATTGACATTTGTAGCAGTTCAAATGTTTTCAATGTCAAACAATGATAAGTGTTTTTTTGCAATTTTTGCCATTTATTTCTACAATATTACTATAGTTTTATCGTTCATTAAATCTTAAAACATTCCTTTGATAAACTCTAAAAAGATTTATCAAATCCCAAATAACCGTTTAGAAGAAGTACAAACCGTACACCCGTACAGAAGAATTTTATACATAAAATAGATTTCTTACCCTAAAGGTTTATCACTGCCATGTTTCAAAAGCCGTACTCTCCTGCAAGTTTCTGGAACTAGGTCAACATCAATAATAGCAGAAACTTGCCGAAAATCATGAGGATTTGATATTGCTAGGCCACGACCCTTTCCGGGGGTCCCTCCAAGAATGGAAGAAATAAGGTTCCTTGGTCGCATAGTGCCATAGCCGGTTAGTTCTTCTTGGGAGTCGCCTGAAAAAAAATAAGTCAATTTTTATAGATTTGATAATAAAACTGGATGAAAATTGCGATTTATCTTTAACCACAGATATTACTTTATCATTTATACCGCTTTTTTACTTTAGTAACAATTAAAAAATAAATAAAACACAATTGAGTTCAATATTCAGATTTATATCTAAATTTATAAATTACTTATAGGTTAGGTTTTAATTAGTGACTAAATAGTCGTTTTTTCCCTAAAATAAATACATTTAAGTTAGTATTTTTGGCTTTTTATATACACATTAATTAGATTTGTTTTAAATCTTATGTTAAATTCCATGCAAACAAAGTAAAATGAAAATATATAATAATATAAAATTCAAAATTTTATTAACCATAGATATTCTTTTAACTTATGTATCAATTTTATGGCTTTTTTTACCTTAAAGTAACATTTAAAAAATAAATAAAATACATTTGAGTTCAATATTCAGATTTACATAAAAAATTTATCCATTATTCTTTAGGTTAGGTTTTAGATAGTAACTAAATAGTCGTTTTTTTCTAATTTAAATACTTTTAGCTCCATATTTTTGGCTTTTTATATACACATCTATTAGCTTTGCTTTATATTATATTAAATTCCATACAAAGTAACTGTAAATATATTATAATTGAAGTCTAGATCATTTAATCTTCCTTCCTCACCTTTTCTTTGGATTATAACTCTTAACATGGGTTTGGAAGTAACAATGGCCCTGCCCAAGTTGTCATCATTGTTAATCGGTAACAAATCGCTATCCCTTGGATCTACATAAGATATGAGGAATGGTGTATGTGACAGGCAGTGTAGTTTCTCCAGAAGTGATTTGAATTCTTCAAATCGCTCTGTTTCTGCTCGAGGTACACAGAACCTTCTAAACTCTGCATCGAACTAGAAAAAAAAAAGTTTATTTATTAACATAATATATATTTTCAGCCGGGGTGTCTGGTATATGAAATTATGAAAAAATATGTATATACAGTGTTTATGAAAGCAATTTGCTTATTTCTATCAAACAAAGATTGGTGAATTATAATTCGATTTTAGTTTTTGCTTTTTTTAAATGCAAAGTGAAAGTACCATTAAAGTGTTCTTTTCTCTTCTTTCGTTTCTTCTTTTCTTTAGTTATTAATTACCAAGTCGCACATAATTATTAAAGTAACACCTAAAAAACGGCAATCTCAAAAAGTAACAAATGTACTTATAATATTATCAAGCTAAGAATCAAGATGGACAGTCTGTTAACAAAGATGCTGTCATTGGAGGTTACACCCAATTTGTGAAAAAATTTTGCATTATCATATTTATACATTATTTCTTAGTAGTTATCAGAAAAAATCCATAAAATGCTCTTTATTAAATTGATATCAATAAATAATTTTGCAAGGCATTATGCTACAAGCTTTTTGAAGTATGGAATTAAAACTACTGGCATAACCTAAACAAATTTTACTTTTTAAATACACCTAAGTGGTGCAAAATAAATAATAGAAGTAAACATTAGTAATACAGAAAATGTTGTTGCCATAAAAGATTTACAACCAAGTCAAAAATTTTAATAGAAACTTTAACAAAAGCTTACAATTTAATTATTACTATTTTACGAAGTATGCCAATTATAAATTCAATTGCAAATCTTTGCTTACATAATTAAATAGTTCGATTTAACCATACCAGGAAATGTTTATTAAAAATATACCCGAGGCACCATTTATCAACCTTACCCTACATATAGTTAAAAAATATGATTATATACAAATTCCTGATGTAATATTTCCAGCATATCATTTTAATAGTGATTCATATCGAATCAACAGTCTGATATATAAATATACATCATTACAACAAATTAGTCAGATAATTCTGTGAATATACAGATAACTTCTTAGAACTGTCACTACGAATAGAAAGTATTAATATCATATGTATAATTACAAATAAAGCCAAAACAATACAAATTAGCATCAAATCAAAACTTTACACCAATTTTCCGTATATCCTCAATAATTTACAATTATTACCTTGCTCTTAACTGACACTACTGATGGACTGTCATGTTTCGAAACGACAATTTTGTTTTTCGACATTTCTTATACATTAATGACAAATTAATTGTCGAATTAGTGATTCTACTAAACTATAAAATATCTTAAAACAGATAAATATAAATAACTAAATATAAAAATAACTAAACAACACCAAATGTCTCTACACCATATTAATAGGTTTTAAAAATATGTAACAATGACGTCACTACAGGTACTTAATGAGCAAATAGTCACGGCGGCCATTTTCGTGCCAGATACGAAATAAAGGACATCGACATTTTATAAAGGATAAATTAAATTAAAAGTAATTTAGTATTTTTGTTGTTTGGGTTAAAAATAAATATATTAGACTTTACATATAAATTTATTAATAAATTAATCACTTATTAATAATTATATTTATATGTACAAAAATAATCTCGGCCACACTAATAGTAAGGGTTCTGGTGGATAATTTGCTGTATTTCCTTCGCAGAAGTTTTTAAAATATACTCGTTTATAAGAGCAACGAACGATCTTTTTAAAGATAATATTTTAGCACCATAAAAAAATTTATGATCATAGAAAATTTATGAAAAAGAAAAAAAAATGATCTTAAAAAATTTGCTGAATCTGTTTTTAGCTTTTTAAATTCTCTTTGTGTATATAAATGTAATTCAGTTCTTTTAATACATGATATTTATATTAATATTATCAATTGTTAAAAAGTAAATCTTCCAATTTCTGATTATAAACTTTTGTTGTATTAACTTTTTAGTATTTAGATTTCTTCATTTTTTTATTATTATTCAATTTTTTTAAAATATTTTTTGTTTTTGATTAAAATATTTTGTTTTGGCTAGAATTTCCAAGAATTCTTTCCTGAAAATACGTTTGTAAACCCCTTCATTTCTGTATGTCGTGATTTTGCGTCAACAATTCGTTAATCATGTAATTAACTACATAATTTTATCATCTAAATTTTAGTTTATCATTTTATTTTAATGTTTTGGTTTTTCATTAAACGATGTCTTTGAAAATTTTGTTTTGAGTTTTTTTTTTGGTTTGTTATGTTTGTGAATTTTTCTGTTTGTTCACAAGACCCTTTCTACAGAATCTTACATTTTCGAGCATTATTTCCCAAGTGCATTCAATTCAAATTTTAAATCCTGTATTATTAATTATTTGTTTTTATATCTTCATTTCAAAGTTTTGCGTTTTTGTTTCATTAGAAAACTGTGTTCTTATTTTCTTGTATTTTTTTGGTTTTTGGATCAACTTATGTGAACCCTTTTATTAACTTCCCGTAGGGTTGTTATAGTATTGGGCCGAAAATCGAAAATTAAAATTTTTGCATATCTTTCATAGTTAATTTAGCCATCAATCCCCATATCTAGAAATTCTAATATTAATTATTATTTTGTACAATGTGCCTTTGGTTGAAAACAACAATATAGTTTAAAATGAGTAAAATGTCTTCCAGCCGTTCCACTACATTGGTAAAATTAACCAAAGTGAGGGCTTCGCCCCGGCTCCATGTGCTTTCGTTGTATGTGTTTGTGTTATCGGGTTTCTGAATGTAAATGGCATTTTTATGTATAAATTTATCTAATAGGTGATTATAAGACCCATATTTCTAATTAATTTCTTACGGCATATAATTGAAATAATGCAATTATTTGCGTGGCAGTAGTAAAAATTAAAATATGTCAATGTCTATTTGATTAAAAATATTTACACAATATTTGAATTTCCAGATACCGCCAATAAGCTTATTAACATATGTCAAGGTGATCTTCAATCCAGACTTAAATTCAATACTGTTTTTATAAAATTGCATTTATAACCAAAAATTTTAACAAATATGGAAGGGGATGCTTCAGCAGCACAGTCTAAAAAAGCAGCCAAAAAATTAGCTAAGGATGCTGCAAAAGCAGCTAAAAAAGCTGAGCATAAAGCAGCAAATGCTACAGAAGAACCTGCAGAAACAGAAGACTACTCAGTGAACAAATATGGTGCTATGAAAATGATTCAATCGACTGGAGAAAACGTTGATAGAGTATTTACTGATGTGTCACTCTTAGAGCCTTCGTTAGAAGGGAAAGTTGTTTGGGTTCGTGGGCGTGTCCATACGTCACGTTCCAAAGGCAAACAGTGTTTCCTAGTCTTGAGACAACAATCGTATAGTGTACAATGCATAATTGCTGTCAATGAAGCAATATCAAAACAAATGGTTAAATTTGTCGGCAACATCCCTAAAGAATCCATTGTAGATATTGAAGCTAAAGTTGTCAAAGTTGCTCAGAACATAGAAAGCTGTACACAACAACTTGTTGAGTTATCAGTCAACCAAGTCTTCGTTGTATCCCAATCCAAACCTCAGTTACCTTTACAAATCGATGATGCAAGCCGGCCAGAAAAGAATCTGTCTGAAGATGCTTTGAATATTAGAGTTAACCAAGATACTAGATTAGATAATAGAATTTTGGATTTGCGTACGCCTGCAAATCAAGCTATATTCAGATTAGAAGCCGGCGTTTGCAAATTGTTTAGAGATATTTTAACTGAAAAAGGTTTCGTTGAGATTCACACCCCAAAAATCATATCAGCGGCTAGTGAGGGTGGTGCTAATGTTTTCACAGTTAGTTACTTCAAAGGCTCAGCTTACTTGGCACAAAGTCCACAGTTGTACAAACAAATGGCGATAGCAGCAGACTTTGATAAAGTGTTTACAGTCGGTGCTGTTTTCAGAGCTGAAGACTCTAATACTCACAGACATTTAACTGAATTTGTTGGTCTTGACTTGGAAATGGCATTTAAGTATCATTATCATGAAGTATTGAATACGATTGGTGATACTTTCACAAAGATGTTTAGAGGCTTGCGTGATAACTATGCTTCTGAAATAGCAGCTGTTGGCCAACAATTTGCTGTGGAGCCTTTCACATTTTTAGATCCACCTCTAATTTTACAATTTCCTCAAGCATTGAAAATGTTGCGTGATGCCGGTGTCACAATTGGTGATGAAGATGATTTATCAACTCCTGATGAAAAATTACTTGGAAAACTAGTTAGAAACATGTACAACACCGATTTTTATATTCTGGATAAATATCCATTGGCCGTAAGGCCATTTTATACAATGCCAGATCCTAAGAACCCCAAAGCATCTAATTCATACGACATGTTCATGAGGGGTGAAGAAATTTTATCTGGTGCTCAAAGAATACACGATCCTGAATTTCTGACTGAACGAGCCAAACATCATGGAATTGATATTAGTAAAATTGCTGCTTACATTGACTCGTTCCGTTACGGGTGTCCCCCACATGCCGGCGGCGGTATTGGTATGGAGCGTGTCGTTATGCTGTACTTGGGTCTCGACAACATTCGCAAGACTTCAATGTTCCCACGTGATCCCAAAAGAATTACTCCTTAAATTATATAATATGTTAAAGATTGAAATGTTTGTATATATATTATGTATTTGGTAATATATAGCATGGTTTATAATAGACAAAACCTTTTATTTTTTCATAATAACCACTTAAAAAAATTATTGCTAGATATTTTGACATATAAATAAATATATAATCGTTTCCTGAACCAAATTAAAATGAATAAAACAATCGTAGACCTCATTGCTAATTGACACAGATGTGAATAGATTCTCTATAACTTTGGTAAAATTTAATTTAACTATACATATTTACAATTTGCAATCGTTAATGGTTCGTCATTGGATCTCCTGATTCGTTTGATATATTATTTTTGGCTTTGTTATTTTTCTGTTTTTTGTTGCAAAGGCACTCGTTTGCTGATTGGAGACACTGGTCGGAAAGTCTTGCCGCCCCCATTTGTGAAGTCAGTAAAGGAATGTTGGAGCTCACATCTCCGTTCATCATCTGTTCACCGTCCATGTGTTTGTGGAAGTCTGATGCACTGTAGGAACTCTGCGCTGTGTTGTTGGGGGATAATTTTAGGCAGCAGTTTGAATAGTCTCCAACTAAATCGGGGATTGAGTCTGTTACTCTTGGAATGTTTTGTAAACTTTGTGTTTTGAGAAGGTTTCCTTGAGCGTTTATTCTGGCATTCACTCTTTCTTTCAGTGTTTGGGGTAAGTTGATGGAGACGTCTGAGGTACTTGTGGTGTCGTTGTCTTCATCCAATTGTAAAGTAGTTGAACCTGATAGTAGAAAATGATCTATAGCCTTGGTGTAATTTTGTTCATAACTAGTTGGTATTGGTATTTTCCCAAAATGTGTAAAAATGGACTTAATCAATCCAAATTAAAATTTAGATAAAATTTTCAACTGTTTATTTCAAAAATAAAGTTATCGCTTTCAATTAAATCTAAACATTAAATAGAATTTTCTCAATCACATTTATTCCTAAATAATAATAGAATATCAGAATCCTATTATTATTACAATTGTCTAGTAAAATCCATTACACTTACTTGTTACTGGTGAGTCAATATAAGCCCTAAGTATAACCTCAGGGCCGCCGCCGTAAATATCGAATAAGAATTTCCATAATGCATGATTCAATTGGGCATAGTCCGATCCTGACTTGACAGTATTATTTGAATTACATATGACTTGATTATCTATGGGACCAGGAATTTCGCAGAATCCTGCAGCACGAACAAATGTTTGCCATTTGCGGAACCAGGCCATCGAAAGGGCGTAGATTGTTGACGGACTTTCGCTCACCTAAGTAAAAAAATAATGATAAAGTATAAACTATACAAGAAAAATAAGTTATTCAAACTTTATGCATCAGACCCTAAATTGATAGGGCAATTCTGCCGTAACAGAGCTCATAAAATAGCTCTAGTCATGGCAATGCTCTCTTATGCGTATTTTACATATAAACAAGCAAGGAAAAATCTCATGATAACAGAATTTTAAATGGTGCAGTTATCATAACATTATTCCTTGCTTGTTTATATGTAAAATACGCCTGACCGCACCGCAAATAGACATAGTCATAATATTCAATACCAAGAACAAGCATAAGAGAACGTTGCCATGACAACGCTATCCTATGAGCTCTGTTACGGCAGAATTGCCCCCAGCTATATTTTTAAATTGATTTTTGAAAGAGTTTGAAAATTGTGTACCTGAAATTCATGATGAAGACTCATAAACGTATCCAATTCATAATATTGTCTTTTTATCAACGATTCTAAATATTCTTTACAAGTCTCACATTCAAATAACTGATTGCAAACGGGCCCGCCGCCAAAGCTGAAATTTATTATTCAGATTTAGTTTTAAATTTAATTACTTCACTCTAACTGTAGTCTTAGTTATAGTAAATTAAAATATAAACAAGAATCTCATTTATAAAATGTCTGACTTACTTCTTGTACAAGAAGTCCCATAGTGGCTGCGAAAGAGGAACTGCTAATTTGTGTACATAACTGACTTTTTCTGGTGATACACAACCATGCTGGCACAACAGTGACCAATTATCGATAGGACCAGGCTCTGCACATGTATTAAATCTGAAAAAAAGATTATTTTATATTTAACCTAATAACAAAATAATAGATCTTATTTATTTTATTAACTGCCCGTAGGCTAAGTTATAGTAATCGTCCAAAAACCGAAAATGAAAAATTTCAGAGATTTCTGAACATTACCTAAGAAAATAATGATAGATGTAATGTGTATGTGCATATGTGCGGATACAATTATTCGTCGACGTTTTTGAGAGCAACCGATTTGAATGATTCAAAAACTGAACTGAACAATTCTTATTAATAAGGATGAGACGTGTTGATTAGTTTTTGGCAAAGGCAGGTCCAGCCGTTTTGGAGTTACGAAGCAAAGAGTGCAGAAAATAAAAATCGAGTTTTTGAGATAACGGAGCGTCCGATTTAAATAATTCAAAAAACATTACACTTGTAACGACGAAACGAATACCTGGTCAAATTTTTGTAAAGGCAGGCCAGCGTCTCCGGAGTACCAATAAAAAAAGTAAAAATTAATGCCATTTGGCGTTCAAAAATGAACATAAGACATATGTACACCCTATTATAAGATATTTTATAAAGATTATAACATTAAGCACGTATATGGGTTCCGTACCAATGTTTATACGTTAGACGACTACGCGAGACTCCAAATCAGCTATGCAGCTTGAAAAATTATTCAAAATTTTCAAAAAAAAATATGAAAGAATCTAATTTTTTTATAAAAAGTCATTTTTCTTCAAAAATTTCAAAATTTCTCAAAAATCTAATTTTGTCAAAGTTTTTTTTTAATAACTTAGTTTTTGGTACGGAAAGTTCCAGAAATTTGTCTTAAGGCACGATGCCATGCACCCTAGTCACTTAATTCAATTATCACTTACTTATTAATCCATTGTTTGGACACATAGAAAGACATATCCGTCGCCCTTTCGACATCAACCAATTCCGCTGCCATTTTCCTCAAATTGGCCATCCGAGGACTCGGCGACTTCCTGTAAAACAGTACGTAGGCTTCGCATCTGGCAACACTCTCTGATGAAACTTGCGTTACGAACTGGTCGTCGAACTCGAACCAGACGCCAGAGGCGCTGTGCTTGGCCATGCTGGTGTAGTGGCCTCCTCCGGCGGTTCCGTGATGACAGATGACGGCGGACAGGTCGTAGGTGCAGATTTCACTAACACAATCTGGAAATTGAAATAAGAGGAAGGTTGAAAAATAACGGTAATAAGGCGAAAGGCAAATTGCTGGAACTTCCCGTACCGTAACGAAATGTTCGAGGAATATCAAGTATTTTCAAATAGATTATTATAAATCCTGTAACATTGTCTAATATTTATAAGAATTACAATTATTTATTTAAAGTATATAAGTGACCTTTAGAATTTTAGCCAGAATTAAAAATAAAATCTGTATTTTCGATATACAAAAAAAAATTGAAAAAAAAAAAAGATTTTTCCCCCAAAAGTAATTGTTTTGTCAACACAAGCAGAAAGCTTTTGGAATCATTCAAATCGGATGCTTAGTTCTCTCGAAAACTGCCATTTTTTGCATATTTAGCTCTGTATCTCCGAAACGGCTGGACCTGACTTTGCCAAAAACTAATCACCACTTCTCCCAATACATATTGAAATTTTTTTGGATCATTCGGAACTGATTCTCCGTTCTCTCAAAAACTCGATTTCTATTTTCTGCACTCTTTGCTCCGTACCTCTGCAACGGCTGGACCTGCCTTTGTTAAAAACTAATCAGCACATCTTTCTATCAATAGGAATCGAATGTTTTTTGAATCATTCGAATTGGTTGATCCGTGCGCCCTAAAACGTCGACGAAAAATTGTCTCCACACATACACACACACATCCTTTTTTTTAACGAGGCATGTTAAAATATTCAGAAACCTTTGAAACTTTAAGGTATATAAAAACCTTTATTTTCGATTACTATAACTTACCATACGGAAAGGTAAAAAAAATATACTAACGGTAAAAATATCCAGCACTATTATTTCAAAAACAAGTGAATTATGGGGTTTTCAACAATACTATTTTAAAGTAGAGGGCAAAAGATGTGTAATCAACCGACGCTTTAAATCGGACAATATCGTTATCACGAGATAAAAGGCAACATTCTAAATTTTTTAACAAATGTATTTTTTTAGATTCGGAATTGGTTTTGAGCACTGTTATTTAATTTACGATAGTTCAATATATTAAAAAATAATAAATGAATTTGCTTCTGATATTGATATCTTTGATCCTTCTGTGACGAATATAAAAAATCAAGCCAGAAAAAATATTCTTAAATGACTGTTTTAAGTAGTGATTTATAGTTCATTAAATGTTTAATATTATTAGATTTTATTTAGTGTTATATATTTGTATATAATATATTTGTAGTTTATATTAAGTGTTTATGTATGTATATACAAAGCTATCTTTCTATGAACTCTTAATACTCACATATCATCTTTAGTTTATAATTTATACACAATTTATATTATTGCGTTGGGCGTTGAATAAATAAATGAATAAATAAATAAATAATTTTTTAGTAAACACTATTTAATTGTTTTATAAGGTGTATTATTATTTGTACGTTGGATCTAACTTTTTTTTGATTAATGTAGCTGTAAAATCTCTTTAAAATTGTAAATAAAATAGAGGACTATTTACCCCCTGGGCGTCACATTTTCTCCGTCCATGGGGTAAAAAGGACCAGGTGACAAATTTCAGAAAAATAGCTAAAATACACATTTTTACAATAATGAATTACCAAGGAATTCCACTGAACTATAGTTTGATAGTTGTTTGTTCGAGTCTAAAAAGTGCAGCATAAATTTTACTAAGTACATACCTTTATGTAAATATGGTTTCATATCAAGTCCAGTTAGTGGAAAATTAACAGGACTCGATATTTTTGAACTATACATCAGTTCGTGCCGGAAACGTTTCAAATGAATACAAAGCATCTCTGGTAGAGCCATAACTTTAGAATATTTAACACCGTTGCGGAGTTTATTGCACTTTTCACAACTAAAAAACAGAATTTAAATTGAATTAGCTAACCATTTTTTAAAGTAAAAGTAAAAATGCGTTCATACCTATACATATTATCTCCTTTCAATTCGTCCGCTGAGAAAAACGCCGCCAAACAATCATGCAATGTAACAGCAGGCCCCCAGAACCACGATCGAAACCAGCCCCATATCCACCAAATCTAAAAACAGACACAACATTACACATTGTATTACACCAACAAATTTACTATTACAACTAACATTTATAATGCTACATTTAGTTAGGGCATGGTTGAGACTTACCCAACCTTCCTGATTGCCTTGCGGTTCATACTCGGATGTCACAGTGGATGTATTCTGGTTCTGATGCAGCACATTTAAATGATCTCGACTAGGTATTGGTAAAGAAAGATCTTGAAACGTTTCGACCTTTGTAGACACCTAGAAGCAAAAAATTACTTGGTAATTATAAGTATTCATATATGTATTTTTTTTTTTTTTTTGGTACTTACCCTATCACATGTAAGACATTGTACGGAGGATAACAATTTGCCATCAAATACTTCTGAAATTATGGATCTGAATTGTGGTTTTAGGTATTCTGTATTTACTGAAATGTAGAAATAAAATATATAAAAATGTGTTTTTCCACTGTGCACTTGTAGTTTTTCTAACGTTTTTTTTTAAGTTTTAAATGTATTTAATACACTATAAATGAGCGGGGCGTGTAAAAATATCCGTTTCAAGGATTGGTGCGGGTATTTTTACCCGTTTGAATTTTACTAATTTTAAAATCGGTTCACGTATGATAATAAAATAGTTGGCATGTTGTTTTTGTTTGGATTCATTTGCTTTAGTTTTTTATTGTTTATATTCATTTTTTGATAATAGAATTCAATAAATAGAAAACTAGAGATAAAATTTACTAAAATCTATCAAAAATTGTTATATACACTTGGATATTAAAATTTTAAATCATTCGTAGTTAAAATGCGAACTTGGTATTTTGAATTTGAACACTTTTTTTACTTTTCTTCAAATAACTTAAAATTTTCATTTCGGACATTGTAATTCATTTATATCAGCAAAAACTAGATAAAATTTACTAAAATTTAGTATAAACTGTTTTATACACTTGGATAATAAAATTTTGAATAATTCGTAGTTGAAATGCAGACTTTAGAATTTTGATACAGTGCATTTCATGGATTTTGGACATTTTTTTACTTTTCTTCAAATAATTTAAAATTTTCATTACGGACATTATAATTTGCTTACATTAGCAAAAACTAGATAAAATTTACTAAAATTTGGTAAAACTGTTTTATATGTATGCTTGGATAATAAAATTTTGAATAATTCGTAGTTGAAATGCGGACTTTAGTATTTTGAAACAGTGCAATATATGGATTTTGGACATTTTTTTACTTTCTTTCAAATAAGTTTGAATTCTCAATTCGGACATTATAATTTGTGTACATCAGCAAAAACTGGATAACATTTACTAAAATTTGGTAAAAACTGTTTTATATGCTTGGATAATAAAATTTTGAATAATTCGTAGTTGAAATGCGGACTTTAGAATTTTGATACAGTCCAATATTATAGTTTTAGACATTTTTTTTACATTTCTTCAAATAATTGAAAATGTTCATTCCGGACATTATAATTTGCTTACATTAGCAAAAACTAGATAATATTTATTAAAATTTGGTAAAAACTGTTTTATACACTTGGATAATAAAATTTTGAATAATTCGTAGTTGAAATGCGGACTTTAATATTTTGATACAGTGCAATATTATAGATTTTAGACATTTTTTTACTTATTTTCAAATAATTTAAAATTTTCATTCCAGACATTATAATTTGCTTACATTAGCAAAAACTAGATAGAATTTTCTCAAATTTGGTAAAAACTGTTTTATACGCTAGGATGATAAAATTTTGAATAATTCGTAGTTGAAATGCAAACTTTAGAATTTTGATACAATGCAATATATGGATTTTGAACATTTTTTTACTTTTCTTCACACAATTTAAAATTATCATTCCGGACATTATAATTTATTTACATCAGCAAAAACTAGATAAAATTTACTAAAATCTTGTGAAAACTATTCTAGATACTTGGATATTGAAATTTTGAATAATTCGTAGTTAAAATGCAAACTTTAAAAGATTAGAATAGATTTAGAATATTTTTTTACTTTTCTATAAATTGCCTAATTTATATTTCGGAAATTATAATTTATTTACATTAAATAACATCGATTAAAATAGGTAAAATTTTAAGCAAAATCACTCTTGATCTTAATATTTAAAATAAATATTTATTTACATACCATTAGCCGGCGGAGACCTATTAACAACCGTCAACTTTGACCTCAGCCTTTCTCTATCTGGTTGAATAGTCGGAATGATTGTAGGACTTGGACTTCGTGATCTAGACGTTTGTCTTGAATGATGTCCAATTTGTCCGCTTTCTTCAGAAAGGGAAGATCTTTCACTGACTCCACTGTCGCATGTTTCATATTCACCTTCGGATTGACTAGGTGTCAGAGAAGGACATGGGCTTGATCGGTCAGAAATGACTGAAATAATAAAAAACCAAAATGTTCAAAAATATTATGAGCATATTCAAGAATGATACAATAAAAATGATTATTTAAATTAAATGATAGTCTTCATCTACTTACTTTCATGTTCATCAATTTTATCCGCGTGGTCTTGTTGTACAGAAGATAAGTCCCTTGCTGCAGGCAAGGCTTCTTTCAATTCTTCATGCAGCTGGTCCATAAAGCAACGTAAAAATTCTTGAGTGTCATGCTGATGGTATCCTCGAAACATAGGATGAACCTGTTGATAGGAAACGACTTATTACCAAAAGTTAAAATATTTTAATCATAATAACATTCAATGAATGAGTTGTTTTATATAAAAATTATTTAATTTGGATATTCCAATTATAGTTGTATATTATATTGTATAAAATGTTTGATATATATAAATTAAAATAAGACATGTACTATTATTTATCAACTTACATTTCTTATTCCATATAAAATTCCACTAGGTACAACGTAACCGCCAGTTTTATAGTTCCACATCTTCTTGATAAGTTTCTGATAGGACTTTGCCAGTCCCGCTTTATTAATATCAACATAATTATGACAATCCAAAAAGAATCCTGTCAAAGCCGGTGTATTGCTGAGTGCTTGAAGAGCAGCATTCATGTAACACGTATTGCCCATGTTTTGGAGGCCGACCAGACCTGGAAAATAAAATTAATAAAATGATTATAATGTTCTTTGATTGTTATTTTATTAATATTATTATGATTATTACTATTTCTATTAATTAATTTCTGTTTTCTCTGCATTTATTTTACAATTAGAAATTTATATATTTCATTTATTTCTCACCTCTGGTGTAATCCATTTCATCCCGCTCTTCATCATCTGTTGAGTCTGCCGATTGAATCTCGCTCTCTGCCCCAAAGCCACCATGGTGATTGTTAACATTATTTCTCTGTGATAAGAACACTTCATTTTCACAAAGATAGCACCAAATTCGATGTGTAGATAGGTTCATGTGAACACAATGATTATTAAGTGCCTAAAAATAATTGTGTAAACAAAAGCTAGAAACTGGTTTCAAATATTATCATTTCCTATTTACTTTGAAGTGTAACGTGCTGTGGTCATTAGATGCTTCGGAGCACCCGATCTCTTGGCAGCTCTGGTGGAGACAGACCCAGAGATTGGGTCCAGGACATTTGCACTGGGTGCACATGTACCCCTAAGGCAGAAAATTATAATGTAATACTTTGACATGTCACGCTACTTGACTTGAGGTTATATAAAAACTTACATCTCGCACAATTTCCGATATTGATAGTTCAGTTATATTTTCTAAATGCGAACAAGCGTTCCTAGTCATTACTTATATATTTTACTTACAGCAATTAATATTATGGGAAGTCATCAGACATTTAATTTACATTATTTTTTTCTCGCCATCTGTTAATTCATATTTTGTCGTCGGAGATTTTACAAATTTTGATATTTACATGACGTTGACATTTAAAAAAAATAAAATTCACGTAAAAAAATTTGTATAATCATTCTTTTTGTAGAGGTGAAGTTACCTCACAAAAACATTTTGACTCAGAGCTTCAAATGGCAAACAAAACAATACAGGGAATTGCATCATTTCAAGCACTCTTTTGACGTATGTCAGGCAAATGTCAAAGTCACAGTTTGGGCCATTTTAGAAATTGAATTTCAAATTTAAAATCTGTGAAACCTATCCTTTGAGAGTGTCTAAATTTGAGAAATA